TTTTTTTTTTTTTTTTTTTTTTTTTTTGAGATGGAGTTTCACTCTTGTTACCGAGGCTGGAGTGCAATGGCACAATCTTGGCTCACCGCAACCTCCGCCTCCTGGGTTCAGGCAATTCTCCTGCCTCAACCTCCTGAGTATCTGGGATTACAGGCACGCGTCACCATGCCCAGCTGACGTTTTGTATTTTTAGTAGAGGCGGGGTTTCACCATGTTGACCAGGATGGTCTCGATCTCTTGACCTCGTGATCCACCTGCCTCGGCCTCCCAAAGTTCTGGGATTACAGGCTTGAGCCACCGCGCCCGGCTCAATTCTCATTCCTTATAATGCTGTGTATTTTCTTGACCTCATGCATCAGAAGGTAGTGATGTTAACATGTATTTCAGTTCTTATATTATGTGCTGGTGGCAAGTAGAAGTTGTGGCTTTTTTTCATAAGAGGAAATTGTTTAGAATTCTGCAGGCTGTATAAATGGACTTATTATTTGTTTGCTAGTTACAATACTTTGTATGGGTTACAATACTTTATTTTTATGATTATACATATGGCTTTTTGGTATGTGGTATGCAATATAACTGACACACTCCACTCGCTAATGTCACAAACTCCTACCAGTCGCAGTAGCTCATGCCTGTAATCCCAGGACTTTGGGAGGCTGAGGTGGGTGGATGACTTGAAGTCAGGAGTTCAAGACCAGCCTGGCTAACATGATGACACTTCATCTCTACTAAAAATACAAATATTAGCTGGGCATGGTGGCATGTGCCTGTAATTCCAGCTACTCGGGAGACTGAGGCAGGAGAATTGCTTGAACCCAGGAGGTGGAGGTTGCCGTTAGCCCTGATTGCGCTATTGCATTCCAGCTTGGGGGCCAGAGCAAGATTCTGTCTCAAACAAGTAAAAATACAAAAAAAAATTTTTTTAATGCCACAAAGTGCCTGTTCCGCATAGATATAGGTAATTTTATAACATTTATTCAGAAAAATATTGTATTAACTTTTTTTCTTTTCTTTGTTTTTTCTTTTGAGACTGAATCTCACCTTATTGCTCAGGCTGGAGTGCAGTGGTGCCATATCGGTTCAATGCAACCTCTTCCTGTTGGGTTTAAGCGATTTTTGTCCCTCAGGCTGCAGAGTAGCTGGGACTACCATGCCTGACTAATTTTTGTAATCTTTTCTTATCTTCTCAGTGCTATGATTGTTTGACAATACTGAATTCCCATTGATATTGGCTATCCTTATATGAGCTCATGAAAGATTATTTATCAATGCAGTATACTGTGTGGTTCTTTAGCATTTATTTGTATATAGTAAATATGCTATAAATATGAAGAATATATATGTTTCTCTTCATTGATGTGACAATGACATGTTTTTTGCAGACTATTACACAGTTTAGGGTGACAAAGGAAAAACACTCTTCACTTTAGGCTTAACGCATGTTGGGACCGTCTCAGTGTTTTCTCATGATTTTGGACATAGGCTTCTGTAGAAATGGTTTGAAGTCCATGTAATTCTTTATTTATTAAATAATCTCACTCCTTTTGTGTTTCTAAACTTTGAAGATCATGTTTGGAAAGTTTAAAATAGGTATTATTTTTATGTCATGTTTACACATTTTAGCATTATGTACCATCTGTATCCAACTGGAAACCTGCTGGTTTTTATATTTTGTAGGCATCTCTTCCAAATGCATGATGAAAGAGTTCTCATCCACAGGGCCAGGCAATACAGAAGTGTTGCACACAGGGACATTGGAAACACATGAAAGTCATCACATTGAAAATTTCTGCTTCCAGGAAATTGAGAAAGATATTCATGACTTTGAGTTTCAGTGGCAAGAAGATGAAAGAAATGGCCATGAAGCACCCATGGCAGAAACCAAAGAGCTTCCTAGTAGTACAGACCAATATGATGAAAGGCATGCTGAAAACAAGCCTATTAAAGATCAGCTTGGATTAAGCTTTCATTCACATCTCCCTGAACTCCACATATTTCAGACTGAAGGGAACATTGGTAATCAAGTTGAAAAATCTGTCACCGATGCTTCCTCTGCTTCAGCATCCCAAAGAATTTCTTGTAGGCCCAAAACCCATATTTCTAATAACTATGGGATTAATTTCCTTCATACTTCATTTCTCACACAAAAACAGAAAGTACACATGAAAGAAAAATCTTTCCAATTTCATGAGAGTGGCAAAACCTTTAATTGCAGATCACTCTTAGGGAAACATCAGGTAATCCATTTAGGAGAGAAAAAATATGAATGTGATGTATGTGGCAAGGTCTTTAATCAGAAGCGATACCTTGCACGCCATTGTAGATGTCACACTGGTGAGAAACCTTACACATGTAATGAGTGTGGCAGGACCTTCAGTCAGGCGTCATACCTCACCTGCCATCGTAGACTTCATACTGGAGAGAAACCTTACAAGTGTAATGAGTGTGACAAGACCTTCAGTTGTACGTCATCACTTACATCCCATCGTAGACTTCACACTGGAGAAAAACCTTACAAATGTAATGAGTGTGACAAGACCTTCAGTCACATGTCATCACTTACGTCCCATCATAGACTTCACACTGGAGAAAAACCTTACAAGTGTAATGAGTGTGGGAAGAACTTCGGTCAAAATTCAGCCCTTGTAAGTCATAAGGCAACTCATACTGGAGAGAAACCTTACAAGTGTGATGAGTGTGGCAAAACCTTTGGTCGAAATTCATACCTTCTATTTCATAAGACAATTCATGCTGGAGCGAAACCTTACAAGTGTAATGAATGTGGCAAGGTTTTTAATCGAAAATCAAACCTTGCACTTCATTGTAGACTTCATACTGGAGAGAAACCTTACAAATGTGAAGAATGTGACAAAATGTTCAGTAGCAAATCACACCTTAAAAGACATAGGAGAATTCATACTGGAGAGAAACCATACAAATGTAAGGTTTGTGACAAGGCTTTCGGGCGTGATTCACACCTGGCACAACATACTAGAATTCACAGTGGAGAGAAACCTTACAAGTGTGATGAGTGTGGTCAAGCCTTTAGGTATCAGTCAACACTTACTCACCATCAAGCAATCCATGGTATAGGGAAACTTTACTAACGTAATGATTGTCACCAAGTCTTCAGCAAGGCTACCTCCATTGCAAATCATGGTAGAATCTATAACGAAGAGAGATCTTACAAGTGTAATAAATGTGGCAGATTTTTCAGACATTGTTCAGACCCTGCACTTCACTGGCAAACTAATACAGGAGAGAAGCCTTACAGGTATAATGGTGTGGCAAGACCTTTGATCAAAATTCAGCCCTTGTTATTGATAAGGCAGTTATACTGGAGAGAAACCTTACAAGTGTAATGAATGTGGCAAGGTTATTAACAGTCTAACCTTGCATGTCATCTTAGATGTCATACTAGTGAGAAACCTTACAAGTGAAATAAATACGGCAAGGTTTTTATCAAAAATCAAACCTTGTATGTCATCATAGACTTCATACTAGAGAGAAGTCTTTTCCTACTAGAGAGGTTTTGTTTATTTTTTTAAAAATCTTTTAGGTGGAGTCTTGCTCATACTGCCCAGGCTGGGGTGCTGTGGCACGATCTCGGCTCACTGCAACCTCCACCTTCCAGGTTCAAGCAGTTCTGCCTCAGCCTCCTGAGTAGCTGATATTACAGGCACCTGCCACAATGCCCAGCTAATTTTTGTACTTTCATTAGAGATGGTGTTTTGCCATGTTGGCCAGGCTAATCTTGAACTCCTGACCTCAGATGATCACCCACCTCAGTCTTTCAAAGTATTGGGATTACAGGCGTGAGCCACGCGACTGGCCTGTTTTTGTTTCTTTAATAAAAACTGATAGGGGCTGGGCACGGTGGCTCAAGCCTATAATCCCAGCACTTTGGGAGGCCAAGGCGGGTGGATCACAAGGTCAAGAGATCGAGACCATCCTGGTCAACATGGTGAAACCCCATCTCTACTAAAAATACAAAAAATTAGCTGGGCATGGTGGTGCGTGCCTGTAATCCCAGCCACTCAGGAGGCTGAGGCAGGAAAATTGCCTGAACCCAGGAGGCGGAGTTTGCGGTGAGCCGAGATCGCGCCATTGCACTCCAGCCTGGGTAACAGGAGTGAAACTCCGTCTCAAAAAAAAAAAAAAAAACTGATAGGGATTTTTAAAGGTGTTGTGTTGAATCCAAATCACTTTGGGTTATATAACCCTTTAAGAATATTTTTTCTAATCCATTAGTATGGGTTCTATATATATGTTTTTAATCATTTCAATCTACAGTTGTAAATTTCAGGGTACAAATCTTGCACCTTTTTACATTTATTCCTAAGCATTTCTTTAAGTTCTCTAGCAAATGGTGTTTTTTAAATTTTCTTTTAAAATTGTTTATTGTTAATTTATGGAAATTCAACTAATTCTTGGTGCTAATATTGTATTCTGCAAATATATAGAATGTGTTTATTAGTTCCAGTAGTCCTCTGGTTGAATCTTTGTGATTTTCTGCACTGAAGATTATGTCATCTCCAAACAAATATAATTATACTTCTTTCTTTCTGATTTGGATGAGTTTTATTTCTTTGGCTATTTAATTGTTCTGGCAGACAGCCAGTATTTGTTTTTTTGTTTGTTTGTTTTGTTTTGTTTTTTTTGAGACGGAGTTTCGCTCCTGTTACCCAGACTGGAGTGCAATGGCGCGATCTCGGCTCACCGCAACCTCCGCCTCCTGGGTTCAGGCAATTCTCCTGCCTCAGCCTCCTGAGTAGCTGGAATTACAGGCACGCGCCACCACGCCCAGCTAATTTTTTGTAGTTTTAGTAGAGACGGGTTTCTCCATGTTGACCAGGATGGTCTTGATCTCTTGACCTCGTGATCCACCCGCCTCGGCCTCCGAAAGTGCTGGGATTACAGGCTTGAGCCACCACGCCCGGCCCAGTATTTGTTGATTAGAAGGGGTGAGAGCATTCTTGCATCATGTGAGATACTGCAGAAAAAGCATTGCATTTTCACTGATTGGTTATTTTTACAGTGGTCACTTCATGGATGGTCTTTATGTTGTTGAGGTAAATTTCCTTCTCTCTTTATTTTGTTTAGGATTTCTATGATGACTGGATATTGAATTTTGTGAAATGCTTTTTCTCCATCTATTGAGATGATGTGGTTTTTATCTTTCATTCTGTCTAAGTGGTATATCACATTGATTTGCTTGATTGCGTTGAACCATCCTTGCATTCCAGAAATAAGTGGCACTTGAATATCTACAATTCTTTTTATATCCTCTTGGATACAGTTTTTTAGTATAAGGGGTGTTCAAGAAGTTCATGAAAAAATGTGAGAAAATTATGCATGGATTTCATACTTTTTGCATCAGAATAAACCAGTACAAATCTGTCATCACATGTTTAAGCAGACTCTAGTTTGAGGCACTCAGAAGGAAAGACATGAGTTTCAAAAGAGACCCTATGAAAGCCTTGTAAATTCTGCTTAAATTGAAATAAAAGGAAACATCAAATTTGTGATGAGAGCAGATGCAGTGGCTCTGGCCTGTAATCCCAGCACTTTCAGAGGCCAAGACAGGTGGGTCACATAAGCCCAGGTATTTAAGACCAGCCTGGGCAACATGGTGAAACCTCCTGCTCTACCAAAATATAAAAATTAGCTGTCCATGGTGGCACATGCCTGCAGGTTGAGCTACTGTGGAGTCTGAGGTGAAAGGATGGCTTGAGCTTAGAAGGTCAAGGGTGCAGTGACCCGTGATCATGTCATAGCACTCCAGCCTGGATGATGGAGCAAGCTACTGTTTGAGAAAAAGAAAACTATGGTAAATTTTGGGTAGAGAAATAATGAAATCATTGATGCTTTATCAAAAGGTTATGGGGATGATGCCAAGTAAAAACAGTTTATAAATGGGTAACTCATTTTAAGTTGGGTCAAGACAATGTTGAAAGTGATGCACAGTGCAACAGGTAGATCATCCACATCAGGTGTTTTTTTGTGTTTTTTTTTAGATGGAGTCTTGTTTTATTGCCAAGCTTGCAATATCTGCATTTTTCAGAGAGACAGGATTTCACCATGTTAGACAGGATGATCTTGATCTCTTGAGCACATGATCTGCTCACCTCAGCTTTTCAAAGTGCTGGGATTAGCAGCCTGAGCCACTGAGCCTGGTCCAAATTCGTTTTTTTTTTTTTTTTTTTTTTCTTGTTAAATTAATCTTCTTGGTGCCTTTATGAAGAGGACTGACAGTTAACATTAGAGACAATAGTTAGGAGTTTGAGACCAGCCTGGTTGACATGGTGAAACCCCATCTCTACTAAGAATACAAAAACTAGCTGGGCATGATGGTGGGTACCTGTAATCCCAGCTACTCGGGAGGCTGAGGCAGGATAATCTCTTGAACCCGGCAGGTGGAGGTTGTAGTGAGCCAAGATGGTGCCATTGCACTTCAGCAT